ATACATATAAGGAAAGTTCAAATTACGCAACCGACTTCCCAATATTCTAATAAGAAGACAATCTTGTTCAGAACTTCACTTCTCTGCTTTATTCAATATCTACTGTACCTGACTACTTTCTGAATTATCATACTTTCCAGCGATTTCTGATTTATAGAACAAACAAGCCTAATAGTTTTAGTCACACCACAATAAGTAATCGATTTAAAAATTCTGTCACATTCCTCGTCAGGCATGACATACGTTTTAGACACCTTAATCGATACAGTTTAGCAATCCAATCCGACTGGTTTAACTTCTTTAACAAAAGCTTTACGTACAATGACGTTATTAGTTACCATGTCGCTCTTCGCCTAACGAAAACAAGTTAACAAAGATAATTAGAGCTAAAAACCAGGAAGATTTATGTACTTCATCTCCTTTATTGAAAGAAAATCTCTCCACAGCAGATACACTGACATGTCGGAAACATCGATAACACATGGTGGCAATCCTGTATCCATAATACCGAGAATTTGACAGCAATCAGTCCGTTACAGCTGATCCAACTACCTAAATATGTGAAGTGGCTAACACCTTACACTCTATTTTTATAAAATAGGAGTTTATGCATGCCAGTCTTGTAGCATCGTCTTACATTTAACAAAAGTGAGTACTCAACTAACAAAATCCTGTGGTCCTTCTTCCAGAAGACTGACTTTCGTCAGCATTTTCGCCCTTTAGAAATATGTTGTCTGAGAATTCGAAGTTAACGAGATTCTGCCATGTTAGAAAGTCAGTTATTTTGAGATAAAAAAGTGACCCATCAGTCAGTGAGATATCGGTCACCATGAAGTGTCTAATACGTTTATATGGTTTAGTCTTACAAAGAAAATCATGATATGAAGAAACAAAAAATAAACTCTGAGAGAGATGGGTACACGCACATCAAAAGCAAATTTCTCCCATGTTGTAGGTTCGTCTTCTTCATAAATGCAAAAATAGCACCTTCTGATAGTCAACTTCGAACATATAATCCGATCATTACTGAATATCAACGAAAACTAGTTCCATTATCTTAATTATAAGTCGCATTTGCTCACTCTTCATCTTTGTGGAACACTAAATATAAGCAGTTAGTGACATTCATCATCTCATTGAAGGGATGAGACTAGCGAGAAATAGACAAATGGTGATTTCATTCCTGTTGTTGATCAGAATGTTTTCCTGTCTGATTACGATACTTCTTGGCTTAGTAAGTTAAAACAATTTGAAGAATCAAGTCTTTCCATGGAGTTCATCTTGATTCCATTGTCAGTAAGCTGCAAATTCACTAGAATATCAATTTGTCTGAAGTTATTTTCTTAGTTAGAATTAAAGAAAAGATAACAAAGCGAAATAGGACGAGACCTATTGTGGCGTGTGCTACTGATAAGATTTATCAGTAGTATATAAAGAGATATTCATCGGCATAAAAAACATCAAATAGCAGGGATACATTTGAAATCACACAAAGTAAATGATACAGCGTTTCGGGGATACATGGGAGACGTGAAAGGAACACAGAGAAACAAAATATGAAGGCTAGAAGTAACACAACACGAAAATCTGCGCAAATGATGATTTGAAGATAAGGTGTACTTAATCTGGCCATATAGAGATACCAAATTGCAAATGAACATTCTTTGACTAAGTCCCTCTTTTACCGTTATAGTATGACCATTTAAGAATACTTTTAACAAAGGTAAATATGAAAATCTAAGAATATTTTATTAGCCCTTTAATTATCTACAGTACTAAATTACCTTTGTGATTACTGACGTATTGTCTTACTAAGTTTTTGTAAGGTATAACTTATACTTTTTTTCATTCTTTTGAAGGCTAGATACCCATTGACTTCTGAAGCCAAAAAATTCTTGGCTATGTTTCTCAATCAATGTTATATTTTAGGCATACATCACAGCTGTTGTTAGTTAGTCAGTTCTGTCTATTGCTGAGACAGCAGAAGTTATTAGGTAAATTCTTCGTGTTCCGTAGTTGCCGATAGATACCAGCTGGTGTTACATCATCAGATTGAGCCACTTAATATATGAGTCAAAACAGTAAAATACTACATCAGCTGGATACAAGTAGGCACAATATTTAAAGCAGCGTTTAGTGAATTCATAAATTTCGGTAGGACCCATTCAGCTGAACACTATACGGCTTATATTACTTATTATATAATTTCCAAAGGTTAACATACACATAAACATAATGATAGCATAGCATGATCCGTAAAAGATTAATGATAAGTTGCCAGCATGGTTAGGAGGAAGTGATAATAGGCATAAAGATGCAAACAGTACAGTTGAGAGATTCGTATGTCGAATGCCAACATAAACAAGGCAGTTCCTAAATATTAATAACTTCTTTTCAGTTCGCTAATAAGATTACCTAGTCAGAATATAGTTTAACAAGACAAGAATAGTCTTTTCCGTAGCAGATCAAAGTGTGAACAAAAATCTCTGAAGGATTTACTGGTGGAAAATGGTTATTCGAAAAGGTGACTGCAATACTGGGCAGTCCGGATTAGAAGCTCAGAGGGAATATGAGTTCCGAGGACGAAACCTAGGTGTCCAAGGTTTCCTGTCGATTGCCTCCAACCATCTAATAATAACAACAACTCAGAGTACACTGTGATGGCAAGCGACCTAGCATGGTGGCCACATTGCAAACCTAACTGATAAAATTCAGTACTAGACGCACGACATAAGTTACTACCAAGTGTCCAACCAACGCTTTATAAACAAGTATTGCAAAGGAAATAAATTGGAATTAATATCTGAGACAGTCCTTAAGATGAAGGTACATAGTGAACTGTCATTTAAGAGAGATAAAGTTACTTGGAAAAGGCGATAAAACAAACCTTATACGCAGTTGAATTGATACTCCTGAACAGAAATCATAAAAGTTACTTAAACAATGAGAAAACCTTAGACGATATGTATGCCGACTTATATGTATTTATCGACGTCAATATATTGGGCATACAGAAAGATATTTTTCAGTTCGCATCACTGAACACACTTCAAAGAACGTTCATCAAAAACACATTCGGCTACGTAGGAATTCATTAATTGTATCCCCCTTGAATTTTAGATTTAGAATTTGTTGTTTCGTCAACACAACGTTTCACGGAGGAGCGATCTTTCTCTTTAAATGTATATTGATGAAAGACTATATCCATTCTTAATTGGAGTATTTCTGCAGGATTACGATGATCCCGTAGTCAAGGTATCTTCGGTCGGTGCAAATACGACAGATCCTCAGCTCAAAAGATCATGAGATTTCTTTGCCCGCTTTTTATAACTAAACTGTAAAAGTTGTTCAGCTGTCTATTTTATTTTGGTTTGTGGTGAATTGCTCTTTGCAGAGATCCATCCGTTTGTTTTGGAAAGCAGAACATCTTGGAAGGATAATTTGTCTTTCGATTCAACTTCAGTTTTCAAAGACAACTAAATGCTGAGCATTGTTAAAGATTACCACCAGGATTTTACTTAGCTAAGCATTTCCATTGATAATAAGAGAGACATCGATCGTGTGTATTTCTGGTTGAAAGCTGCTCGATTCCAGGCATGCCATAGAAAGATTAGAAAGTAATAGACCAAACAGAGAACCTACCTCTACTCAGTCTTTTTGTCAGTATATTTGGTTATTAGATGGTTGGAGGTAGTCGGCCACAGGAAGCCTTGGACCTAAATTTCGTGCTAGTTGGCACTCATCAGTAAGGCGCATCTGCAACCTTGGAGGAACTCATGTCCCTTCTGAGATTCGAACCCGCATCACCCAGTGCCGCAGTCAGAGACGTTACCACTGAGCTATTCGGGCTCGCGATTGACCTCCTGTAGGACTGCAGTGGATATTTTGATTTGACACTAGTAACTAGTGTGATGTGTATAGTCCTCTCTGACTGCGTCTGACTGCGCACTGGGTGACACGGGTTCGAATCTCAGAAGGGACATGAGTTCCTTCAAGGTGGAAGATACGCCTTGCTGATGAGTGCCAAATAGCACGAAACCTAGGTTCAAGGCTTCCTGCCGATTGCCTCCAACTATCTAATATCACTAAATCAATGTGCACCGTGATGGCGAGCTACCTAGAATGGTGACCACATTACAACCTGACTGATAGAATTCAGTCTGCACCAAAGACAGGACTAGACACATCACACTAGTTACTAGTGTCAAATCGAAGTATATTTGGCTGTTGAATAAAAATTGGACATTTAATGAGCACTCAACTATTTAATATACTTAGCAGATTCACCAACTTACGTCGACTGAGGTCATAACTAATCCAGATATATTAACACTGTACTTATAAATCCTTCAATAACTGTGCAGTTTTGAAGAGAAATTAAGAACAGAAATCTGTTCTTCTTCTTCTTAATTTACAACACACATTGAAACTTCTCATAATTTAAAGAGATACAATATTGTTTAAATGTATTGCACTATAACTAAATTATCTGCAATAGTTCAATGAAACACAATAAGTCAAGGAAATGAAAGTAAATAAATTAAAGTGACACAACTGTCGTAATTTTTGAAGAAGTTACAGGGTGAATATTTCGATCTATGCAACTGTTATTGATTTCAGTTTTATTTTTTTTAAATAAGGCCTGGCGTCTCTAAATCCAAACATCGCGATGAAGTTCAAGCATCATAGCCAAAGTCAAGGTCTGTCAAAAGTTGACCTTCAGGAACCAATCAGATCCAGGGTAAGCTAAGAAATGTCATTCGAAACCAAGTCATGCCTGCCTTTTTGAACGTGGAGAGGATAGATACAGTATTCTACTTTACTTTACTAGGTACTTTTTCTGCAAATCTATACTGTTAGGTGGGGTTATGGCTTTTAGGATTCAGGTTTAGGGTTATGTTTAAAGTTAGAATTAGGATTATGGTTAGAGTTAGGAGTAGGTTAAGGAACAGTGTCAGAAATATCAATGGATCTCAAATAACCATGACCTGCAGTCACCTGGGTGATTTCTCTATAGATCATCTGTGTAGTAACTGAGAGACATGCTTACAACTCATACACCACAATTATATGGTGTTTTATATCATGTTTGCAATGTTTTCTGGTGCATTTTTCAACGATTATGTGACTTTCTTGTGTCTGAATTCTGATTGGTTGTTCAAGGTCATTGCGACTTTGGCTATGAAAGTTTAACTTTGCCAATAAACCTATATAATACCGAATTGGTCAGTTGACAAGGTTGAAGTTAAATTATTACGTTTTGGTTTGGTCAGACAAATTGTTTACAACTTAATTCGACTACACCCATGTAATCCTCATAATATTTTCAGTTAATCTCAGTGTTTATTATATCAAAACTCTTAACATTAGCATTTCTAGACAAAAAGGAAATTACACACGATAAATAATTATTATTGTACATTTCATTCGCTGACATAAGTAGTGTCAGTTATAATTATCAAAGGCTTTAATACTTTGTATGTTACTTCCAATATCTTACAAAGTTAATTTCAGTCAATCATAAGACCGGAACAATGTAGTTAGTGGATTTTAATTATGTATTAGCATAAAATTAGCTATTTTCTGTCATCTATTAGTTATATGGCAGTGCATAGGTCCGGGTTCGATTCCCGGCTGAACCTCACTTAAGCGGCAATGAACTCGGAAAAGAAGAAAGGTTTGGCACGAGGCTGGCAACCCCCACCCAGTAGAAACGACGCCACTGCTACTACAACTTCAAGGCTCAAGTGTGGAGCTGTATATTCCACTCGAAACAGAGCACGAAAGTCAAATACAAAGATTTAAAAAATATATATATAATGAAATAATAATAATAACAATAATAGGCACAAAATCGGGCTGGTGTTATTTCATCATAAATAAGTCCATTAACTACAATTGTCATCTAATAGACTGAAACGGGGGAATTTCGATTGCTCGGCAGTTGTGTACATACTATTTTCACTTGAAAACAATTCACTAAATACACGAACGAATCCGTGAGTTTAATTGACCACAGTTTGTGCAGGGGAAAATCAAAGCATTGAGTGCTTGAGTGTGTATTCGAACCGATAAGAGTGATATCACAGACGTAGAATTTGTTTTCTAAATGTATACACATTATTACATTATTATTATTTATAGAAAGTATCTTTACTCTGTTAAAAATAGGAATGTGGATGGATGGAACAGGACCTGTACACTTGTGATTTGTGATTCAATTCAATGCTGACTTTTCTTTTTTAATGCACGCCAGATGAAATTTCATTTACTAAAATATCACTAACGATGCACAGTAGTCACCATACACTTTAATATTTTGGTTGAGGACATTCAATTTCACCGTTTGTAGATGGTGCATTCAGATTTCGTTTACTAGGTGGAATTAAATGCTCCGGTAAACGATCTGGTATCTCATTACCTTTTGAGGCTAAATCTATCAAGTACTTAGCAAGTACAAACTCATCAACATCTAAATGACCATCCATATCTATATCTGAAAGTTTCCATATACGATGTAATGTGAAATTGGGTAACCGTGATTGTAACAAATGAGCTTTTAATGCTCCACCGGCAAGACGACCATCAACTGGTTTAAAATCTTCGAATTCCTGAAAGGAAACAAAAACAGGTGGTCAGTGAATAATCGCTAAACCTCAAGAGTTAAATCAATGGGGCTTAAAACTGGTATCATTGTGTTCTCTAACACAGCTGAATGGTTTAATTGTACAGCTTTCATTGTCTTTCTAGACAAGATCTTCAACCTTAACCATCCAGCTCAGAGAACACAACAACAACAACAATAACAACAAATCCATATTCTTACGTAGTTATTACTAAGCAAATGTGAATTTAATACAAATTCAAAATTACATTCCACAAGAGAATAAATTTACCCTTGCAGTTAGATACGTACAGATTATTCATGTAGGAAAAACACCATGTATTTTTCCAATTTACGCTTGACTAACCAGATGAATGAAGGCTCAAAGTAGCATTCTACTGAAGCGAATTAGTTCACGTTATCATACTTCAAAAAAGCATGCACTAGAGAAATATAACGACACTATAAATGAATAAAAGTGTGTGAGGAGAATAATCTAAAAAGAGTAGTAGTTTTTGAAATTTTAAATATGATGAGTAGTGAATAAATCAACACGATGTCAACATTGATTTTGACATGACCGAGCTACCACAATCAACTTTTTAGACTGATTTGATTTCTCTACCTAAAACTCTACGTCAAGTAGCACAAACAGTTATTATTTCGCTCGACTCAGAGCCAACAAGTTAAAAACACGGACAACTATAGCTGAAAACCTAGACTTACATATCTTGTCTACTTCAATCGGGGAATCTCACAATCTTACAGTAGGACGAAATGAATAGCTCTACAGTAGATACACTTGTCTGTCACACCGAAACTACAGATTACACAAGTTGGTAACCCTGTTGGTAAACAGCACTTCATTATCTGTGCTGAGAATATCACGGTTATCAATCGAATACAGCTGATTCAACTACTTAAGTGGCTAACACATTCCACAACTTCATTTGCTAATACTAAAAACTAGGAGTGGATGTAGACCAGTTCTGCAGCATGACTGACTGGTTTCAAAATAGAACTTTGCACAGAGGTGCACCAGTTCCAGTTGTCACACTCCCTCCTTGTAGCACACAAAGCAAGAGGAAAGAGTAAAAAGAGATTCAAAACGGAGATAATAAACAGAAATACGAGGTGACGACATTGTATGAAATTCTTGAGAAGTAGTGTCACTACCACTTCATTCAAGTCACTGAATCAATTGGTGACCTTACTCTGCAGAATATCACGCGAAGTTACTCGACTGAAATTTTATGATCAATGTCTACGCTCTTGCTGTTTCCCTCGTCAGTTTATAAAAAACCTTCGTTCTTGTAAACTTCCTCCTTCCTTGAAAAATCTCAGACGCTTAACAAAATCCAATATTGAATCGACGAAACGGCTGATTACGAAGCTGAAAACAGAAGCCAGCTCTTTTGAAAACACTGTCAATGAATTAAACATGGCATGCAGAGTCAAATTCATAAATTTCCTTCGAGATATTCAAAACAAAACAAGTGAAAACTTCTTCACAGCCCTATCGAAGACACTAGTGAAAGAACAATTATGTGAAGGCTTCGAGGAAAACCCCGAAAAATATGTTATCAATCAGTCAAGTATAAAGCTAAATCAAACTGAAATTGAGGCACTGTCACTCGGTTTCAAGTTCCATGTACCGAGAAAATTTGTGAATAAAATAGACACAGAAGCCCAATTCGAGAATTTATTCAACCAGTTAACCGACTTACATCCCGTTAGTGAAGACAAGAAAGGTTGGTTCAAATCAAGACTAGTTGATATCTCTAACCAGTACCTATGCTCCCCAATTCAAGAGTCTAGGATCATGACGAAAGAACACCGAAAAGCAATTAAACGTCTGCTCAACAATGAAGATATCGTCATACTGCGACCAGACAAAGGTTCAGGCGTGGTAGCGATGAACAAGGCTGAATATGCCCAAAAAATGGAGTCTATTCTGAATGACACGTCGAAATTTAAGATTGATAACTGCAAGAAGGATATGACGGATTCGGCAGAAAAGAAAGTCACGAAAGTACCCAGAGAGCTATTGAAAAAGAAAATGATTGACAATCATACGTACAATGAGTTAAAACCCACGGGGTCTCGTCTACCATATATGTATGGTCTGTCGAAGACACATAAAAAGAATTGCCCAATGAGACCAATTCTCTCAATGTTGAATTCACCCTTTCACAAAGTTGCTCACTGGTTAGCCGATAGGTTAGAACCTGTCAGACAACGTCTAGCTAAACATACTCTAAAAGACTCGTTCCAATTTGTTGAAGAGGTGAACCAACTCAACGTACATGACAAAATCATGGTTTCCTTCGATGTGACTTCTCTATTCACGCAGATTCCTCTTCTGCATGAGACATTATAAATCATCTGTTAACACTCTGATCTTCTTCCTCTACCAAAACTGGAATTTAAGCAGCTTCTCGTGTTATGTACTAATGATATACAATTCCAGTTTGACAACAAAATGTATCACCAGGTTGATGGAGTGGCAATGGGGAGTCCACTGGGTCCGATATTAGCTGATATTTTTATGGCCAGTCTGGAACAGACAAAGCTCAAGTGTGCAATTGGCGAAACAACAGCCTACTATAGATACGTTGATGACACATTCATTGTATGTAATGATTTGAGTCACGCTTCGTCTCTATTAGATTCTTTCAACAATGTACACAAAAGCATCACTTTCACGATGGAGCATGAAGATGATGAAAAATTCCATTTTTTGAACGTAAAGTTGGAGAGAAAATACGACGGGACACTCGAAAGATCTGTATATCGTAAAGACACATGGAGTAGTCTTTACTTGAATTTCAACAGCTTCTGCCCAGTTAGATACAAACGAACGCTGGTGAAAACGCTCTTCTCTAGAGCGAAGAGAATATGTTCACCAAACAAACTAGACAGTGGACTAATGCTTCTTGAAAAATGCTTGAAAGAAAATGGTTACCCACAAAGTTTCATTAACAAATATGGCAAGAATGAACTCAAGAAGCTTGATACAGCTACAGCCAGTAAGAAGCCTATTTTCATCAAACTCGACTACAAGGGCGACGACATTATGAGAATGGTAAATAAAAGATTAAGCACAGCCCTGTCTAGGGCGTATCCTGCAGCATTATTAGTCTCTCTACCCTGAACAACCTCCTCACTGGTGCAGTCAAAGATTGACAAGTACCCCTCACATATTACCTCCAACTGTGTATACCAATTCACATGTATCTGCGGGAGCAGTTACATTGGAAGAACAGAGAGGAGGGCCTACGTCAGATTCTGCGAACATGTACCAAGGAGCTTCCGGTTAAAGGGACCGAATTGTTTAAGCTCTTCAATCGCCAAACACCTGATTGACACAGGACACCGAGTAAATGTGCTGGAATCATTCAAAATAATTAACAGACAAAGTACCTTAAGTCTTCTCACGTTCGCTGAAGCTATAGCAATGAAACGATTGAAGCCTGACTTATGTGTCCAATTAGCCTGGTGACTCACTTCTTAGTAACTCTTTGTTTTCTAATTTTGTTAACTTATCTTTTCACTCCACCCCCCCCCCTTTATCTTTCGCTTGACTCTCTTAAGAGATCATTTTTCCTGATCTTCTGAGTTCTGCTCACTGTATAACATCATCAACTTTTCATCTGACCTCATGTGCACCGAAATTTTGATCTTCTTGCATCTATTTGCGTAATTATTACTAATTTTCTTCTGTTACCGCCCTAACAACAGAACTGTTAATTAATTTTTTCGGGAAACTTCTCTCTAACAAGATATATATATGTATTTATTTCATAACACTTTAGACATCTTGTAAATCGCAACGCCTTATTTCACTATGACGCTGTGACAATATGCTTGCTAATGGACAAAAGTTTGTTAAAAATGTACACTTTTTTATTTTATTAAAGAATTCAGGTTGTACGCAGCTGATGAGAACCGACGAAATAAAGTGGATCCAGATTTTTCTATGCGAATATTTCTTTTTTTTATTTTAAAATGGAAATTGGGGCATATCTTACAGGATAGCACTGGTCGCGTCACTGTGCTTTTAAAGAGTTTCGCGATAACTCGGTACTACCTCTCAGTTACACACTATCACTGTATTTCTCCATTGACAAAGGCAAATCCATCTGTTGCCTTTTCGATTTGTTACGCCTTTATCACCCACTAGCTCTCACCATCCTTGCAAAGACATTTAGAGAGCTTTGGTTTATCATTATGCTCGAAGACCTCGATCAGTTCGTGTAAGGCCCATTGATTTCATCGTAAAAATTACTTTTTTCACTTCATTCAAACTGCAATCACTGTTGTGAATAAACGAAGACTATAAAATGGCATCGATGAGCGTCATGATGTATCACTTTTGTTCTCGTAGAAAGATTAAGCTGAACAGATGGAGGCAATTGTCCAGTGACCTCAAGTAAGACAGTGATGTTTGCTATTAAACCTATCACTGCAACAGCTAGTCCATAAAAACTACTCCTTACTTACTTTACTTCGGCTATCTCCTACGGGAGGATGAGCCGGCTTCATGAACATCTCGAATCATCGCTGCCCAGGAGCGGCGATCTGACGCAACGTTTTGCGACAGGGTTATCCAATTAAGAGAGTTCATGAAGTTTCATGGGAATTTGGTACGAGTGATGTCCCCAGAATCGCTCGGCCTTTTGTTTGAGAGTGCAGCTCTAGCCTTTACACAACCAAGTGTGACCTACAAGGCAGTAGGAGTGGAGTAGGGAGTCCACTATCCATTGGCAGCCGGTGACCGGAGTTCGGTTCATACGCCTTTTTGAATGGGGCCAGACATCCAGGACATCCAACAAGCCCTTTGTCCATACGTCTGCCGGTGAGCTCCAGTGAGCTTCATACGCCAGTCGTTAGAGGTTTGGAATCAGGGTTTAGCCATCTCCCCTAGACTGTCATCCAATGGACAGTCAACCCGGTGAAGAGCGCCGGGCATCCGCTTTCGCCCTCTCACTTTGGTGAAAAACACCTCCGCCACGTGAAGGCAGTGAGTAGGACTTCCTCAGGAGAGGCTATGTAAGACGCCTGGTCATATGGGAGCATTTTGAGAGGTGTGCGGAAGGGTGGCCAACCCGCAGCGCAAGGCACCCACCCCCGACCATCGTGAGGCTTTGGAGGCAAACTACTCCACAACCAAATGAAATTGGAGCGGAGACGCAACTGAGGTGTGAAGAATTATGATACTAGCCGACTACCGAAACTTCGATAGGTAAGGCAAAGTTTTATTCTATACCCTAAGATTTCAGAGTTTTAACTAGTGAGTCTATCGTCCAAATTGGTCAATTTATTAAGTTGAAAGGTCCAACTTGATGTTAGCATGGGACTTTACTAGACTTTACTAGTTGTCAGCAACGGTCACACAGTTAAAAGTTGAAACCATTATAATTTTAATTATACCGACTTAAAATGTTCGTCAAGTTGGGATTATAAATAGAATAGAGCCTTAAATGATATTTCAGTTCCCAATTTCAGTGCAATTTTTTTTGAAGTTCATGATTAGAAGTGACTAATTCAAAATGAATCAGGCTGATTATGATGTCATTAAAATAATGCAAGGTTGAAGAACATTTCCAACTCAACAAACATATTTGAACTAAAGAAACACTTCATCAACTCGAAATTTACAGACAGTTTAGATTACGAAGTAATAATCTCAGAATATTAAACAGAAATCTACGTGAAATCAAATCTTCAACATTCGAATATGAAACTTGAACATATTAATCAAACCACAATTTCATAATAGGAAGGTGTATAGTGTTTAAAAACTGCTTTCTAAAATCACCGAAACATTCATCAATACTTCCGACCTAGAGGACGGAGGAAACTTGAACTTGTGCAGTCTATCCCAAGGCGTTAAAGGTTTAGGTTAAGCAGTTCTTCAGTAAAAAAAAGTTCATTTTTAATTGCCCTCTTTTGATTACTAATTCCAAACATTTTTAAAGACGAAGTTATTTAATCACGTGGAACTTTAAATCAGTGTACCACATGAGTTGCTAATAAAATGTTTTGGACACATGCATACCCCATCTTCATATATGGAAGGTAAAGATCACAGAAGGATATATTGCTTTGTACACACAAATAAAACACGAAGACATCTGACAAAAAAAAAGCTTACTTTAGCCCATTTTTCTCGATATTTTTCAGCAACCCATTGAGTATCATAACGTCCACGATTAATATCCAGATCAGCTTCTAACGTGAATGGGCTGTCACCTATACCACCATCGAATGCTCCACCTTTAACTGAATTTTTGCCCTGTTGAGCACTTTCAGATTGTTCCTTTAGAAAATTAACAAGAGCGATTAAGTTTAGATATGTAACTATCAACTAATATATGTGCGAAATTTGGGCACTGTGGTAGTAAGTAATTCCATATTAGTAGTTTGTTTATTAGATATATCATACAGTGAAACAGTATTATTGTTATTATAAATAATACTGTTTCACTGTATGATATATCTAATAAACAAACTAATATGACTACCAACTAGAAAGAAACCATCGCAAAAAATAAAAAAGGCCACTGAAATCACTCTCGATCATTCACATTTCGAAAACCTTGTGCAGAAAACTTTAGGCGGAGTAAAAGTATACAACCGCCTGCTACCATTACTTTCAACCCTCAAGGGGCTCGCTCAATTTCTCCATCGACGGCATTTTGAAGATAGCTCTGAACAACGTACTTGGTGGTAGTGTAGGTATGCTGACTATTCAGCTTGGATATGTAAACGGAAACACAAACTACTCAAGTTGCCTTTAACTACTTGAGGACTAGTATGTGTCATAATTAGGGATTTTTTTATATCCAGTGGAGACACTATGAAGGTTATTCTGAGGTTTGATTACGTGTCTGGAAAAGGTAAACACTATCATTTAATAAGAACATCATTCTGAGAAACCAGCTTCTGCAGCTTTAACGTATGTCACGAATATTATCACAGCAGCAGCTTTTATATAGCCCACTATTTGTTAGTCCTAAGACCGGTTGGAGAAAGCCGAAAGATGGTCAGTGCATGATGCAGAGTTGTGGAATGAAGGATAATTTTGTTGGTTTAGTGTATCTCGGTGCATTACGACTCCCTAGGTTTGGTACGACAAGATTTATGACTTTGTGGTTTTAAACACTGTCAAATATGACTCAGCATAGAAATCACCAACAAATGCACTGCAGTTTCCTCGTTTCTTTTCCACTAAAAGTGATGACAAGGTAATGAAACCTCTTTAGAACGTCCTCAATAAGTGAGCTTACCTGTTTTACTACGTTCTCTAGCCATTTTTTTCTTTTTCCTTTATTATACTGTTGTTGATATTTTGTGTGGTGTATTTCTTAACTCAAAAGGTGTGTCATATCTACGTTTAAACAAATAAATCAAGCGATAATATTTCTCATCGCCTTTAGTAGCTAAGTAGCACATAACTTGGCTTTCACAGGCTATAGGAAACAATTGTGCTATATTAAATTAATAATCCCCACTGAGACAGAACAAAGATTCCAGAGAAGAAAATCCCTTCTACGATGGTTTCATTTTCATAGCTGTACAATCGTATTTATATGTGTAATTAAACAATTTTATGGCTAAACAAATGAAATCGTTTAAAAGATAATTTTCCTTGCTGGAATCTTTGTTTTACTTGTGAGGTCTATTACAGTTGTCTCGGTTAGTAAATTAGCTGATAACTAGTGATTGGTCGAAGATTCTTTTAAAATAAACGTTACTAAGAAAAGCAAAAGCAAATTAAGTATCCTATGAATACTACTTATATGAACTTATGAACTCCAATAAAATTTGACTTAATATTGAGCGGGTGAGTGAAAAGTAGACAAGTAAAACTTTTATTTGCATAAATGTCGGAGGTATTAAAATGAATAGTTCCAGAGTTTCTTTCGATAAAACAACCCGAACTTCTCCATGCAAATAATTAAAATTAAACTCTACCAATTGAAACTCTTAGTCTAAGTATTTAAGAGTTTGGTCCTCAACTAGTAAATAAATCAACTATTCTTATTCGCATCTTACATACTGTCTAGTAGTACATTTTATATTTTAAAAAGGGTCACATGTGATCGACACACAGAAAACTTCTTTAAGGCTTTTTGATCAAGAAAAACCAGTCCACCTTTTTCAAATGCTTTAAGAAGTCAGCATGTCCCACATTATGAGAAGCCAGAAAAGATCAAAGGTTCACAAGCTACTGATGACGCCCCTTCTACTACTCATCTTTCTTCTTGACTTATTCTTATTAATAATACTATTTTTCCCTTAAGATTCCCCAACTTTTGTCTACCCTGCAAACTCTTATGATGGAAAACCATAACCAAACAGTTTAAAACACGCTCCCAACTTTGTGTCAGAGCTTACAGTATCTCAAGTCTATGCCAAATTAAGCATTAAGCAAAATTCGATAACTAAAACTGATGGAATTCCATACAATGATTGGCATTTAACTGCTTTATCCTCATGTCAATTCGATGTTTTCTAGTAAAAATCATCCCACCTCTCTAGAAGTTTCGACTTCGATAAACTAAGCAATTAATTTGAAGCAATCAGATTTTTCCAAACAAATACAGGCTGAGACTAAGCTCAGGGATTTAACGGGGATTCAAAAGCATAAGAACAGGAATTTCTAAATTCCATCAGCTGCTTAAAAAGCTGTAGTTTATTAATTCAAGGATAAGACTTCTAACCCATGCAGCTCACTTTCAAACTACATCACTCCTAGACAGCTTACATAAACAAACACGCATCTGATGCGTATGCGAATACCACCTAGCCTGACGATGATTAAAGGTCAGTGTGTGTTTAATTTGTAATCAACATATAGGCAAATCTCGGGTATCGAAGTAGCATGTAATTCTACATTAGTTCGTATAAATATATATAATCAACTACTGAAATTAAATTGCAATAATTAATGGTTAAGTGTACCCTATAAACGACCTGGCATGGACAAGGGTAAGTAGACTTCGTATTCTCTCTTGAAATGCTTTCATGTGGCTGCACGTTAATATCTTCTAGTAGCTTCCTATTAACTACTTTCATGCAGCGATGGTGTTCCTAACAAAAGTGAAAGGGCGAATGAGAATGTCTGGTGCTTAAAACAGGATGATGGAAGTGTTGACCTACCTAGGGATACTAGAAAATCCGAAAGGATTAAATAGCGTATGAACCCGTATTGGTCACCGTCAACTAGGGCAGCGCAGCTGCTGACTGAAGGTCAAGGGTTCCGGGCTGTAACCCCTTAAGACAACTAACTTCAATCAGGGTGTCCGGTCAGTATTTCAGCCCAGGCGCGAGCTACGACACTTTGCGTGGTGCATCTCTTATTGTCCATAATGCACCAAGTTTGTGTGGTTATAATAATAACAATAAAAATAATAAAAAATAATCGTGGCGATAAAACACTTACGTTGGGCAGCATCTGCATTAATTTAGGAATTTCCTGACTCAGCATTACATCAACATTTTCAACTAGCCTTTCCTTTAGGGCTGGGAAAGATGAAAAGTCATGTTCGCTTAGTAAACTTTGCATATGAGTAATATTCGGAAAATCACCGGGTGAAATATGATGCAAACGTGAAATAGAATCGTAAATCTGTTGAAGGTTTTTGATAAGTTCTTGTTTCTTTTTGTTTTTGCCTACAAGTGAAGGCATTTCCTTTTTGAGATAGCCAATTATGTAGGCATGTACCTGAAGTAAAATTTACAAGTAGATCAACTGATTGTCCATAAAATATGGATTGAAAATAACAATTTTATTCTATTAAATTTAGAAAATATTACGCATGTGATTGGAAGCGTCATACATATTTGGAGTTTACAGTGATCCTAACTTCGGAAAGACGATAAATCAAATTCAATAAAACCTTCAGAGACAAAATTCAACTCTGTACTGAGGGTGGCTATAATGCAGGTATATGTGCTATATATATATATATATATATATATATTATAAGGGCTTATAGTACTAGTTAGTTGCTCGTGCTGAATTAGGCAGAGCGCATTCAAACCCGAAACAATCGGTTGGAAGTAAAGTTCTTACAACAATACGTAGAATGCCTCGATAATAAAAAGATCCCAATCACTGAACAAGCACTCTGAGTCATACCTTGAAGGATCTAAGGTTTAAACTCTACATCAAACACACAAGGAAGCTTCATCAGCAAATACTAACATTTTTGCCATAGGTTTATGAAATCTATACAATTGTTTGGTTTGCTTGCTATACTAACCTTGCCCATGGAGGGGGAGAATTGTCTGCATTTCTATAGATTGTAAGTACTTAAACCTTAACACAGCTTAAAAACTATGACAATTGAAAGTCAAAGACTGTGGTCAGTGGGTTACAACTACAGATGTATTCTGTATTACCTTAAATTAGACTCGTTATAAACTATTAAAGACATAGAAGACTGGCAAACAGTTTAATAATTACCTGTTCAATCCTAATACTACCTCACCAGAAATATAACAGACTAATCCTCATTACAGGTGAATGCATACCATATCACTAAGGATTATCTAATCTGCGAATCCTAATTCTGAACACTTTTCATACCTTCAAATATTATACTTACTGCTTTATACGAATATTTGAACTTGAATAGTGGTTAAGTCACAAAAACAACTGACATATGGAGAGAACCAACATACTATTGATATAAGTATTTTGAACACCAATATGTATTGTTCTTGTAGATTATATGACAAGACTTGGAGACGTGATGCATTTGCTTGAGCACTCGGCTTTAGTCAGTGGCTCCCATGTTCGAGTCCAGCTTCACCTTCTTCAGCCTGAGCAACATGGAAGTATCATCAATCCCCCCCCATATTGCTTATAGCCCAGTACTGGGTAATTGAGATCTAAGTAACTAAATACATTCGACAATGCTTAAAGTTGATAAAATACAGATGTAGGAGAACTGAAGTGTTTAAGTGAACAGATAACAAAGTGAAGAGACATACCGTCTTACAACCCCTAAATGGGAGCGACGCCAACTGCAACAAAAGCTACAAGGCTAGGAAAACGTGACTGAAATCCCACACAGAATGTTAACTTCCCGCTTTTAGGAATATACAAACTGTTTATTCAACCAAGCAACTGATTTAAAATGGCCATTAATATAAAGGTTTGAGTAATTTGATGGTGTATAAAAATAACTAACCTTGGCTAGCCTTGCTCGTCTAATTATATCATTTAGTTTTCTCATCGCTGCATTAGATGGTAAACTTCGAAGGTCTTTGAAAAGATCCTGAGATTCTAACTCAAACAAGCGACGGTTGGCGTCACATTGCAGTGGTTGGTCCCAAAATGAGCCGATAAACACTCTCACCACCTCTGGAGTTCCCAACACTTTACCCAGACCCCACATTAACGCTCCATATACACGCATTAATTGCTGAGGATCAATCATATCAGCCTTATTCAGCACAATACGAATTTTGTCGTCGAAACCCCTAATCGACTCTATAACTCTCCGAAACTCATCTGATATGTCAAGCTTGTGAGCATCGAACAGGAGAATAATTCTGTCAACATGCTCTGCAAACCACTGAACAACAGCTGTGAAGTCATAACCACGATCCAACCTTTGTTTTTCACCACTCAGTATTCCAGGAGTGTCAATAATAATTATACTGTCTAGAACTGAGTTTTGAAGCTGACAGCACTGAAAACGGTTTAGAAAATTATTTCCGAATTTCGATAAAGGACGGAAAGGTTTCTGCGCATCGACAACAAGAGCGTTTCCAGGTATAATGCCTTCATCACCACTCATTACGACGCTGAATCGGTCAGTTGTGGGTTCGGGGCCAATGTGCATTCCGGGGAATGAAGATCCCAAAAGATATTTTATGAAAGTAGTTTTTCCTGTCGAATACTGTCCCAAGAGAAGAAGCATTGGTTTAGAACTAAACTCTCCAGTATCAATAGTTGGGGAATGGAACTGTGGAAACAGATAAGTGACCTCGAGAGGTTTCAGGCGTTTGTCATAGAGGTGCTTCAATCCATCCATTACATCATGGAAACTGTAATTATCTTCTTTCGGCTTAACAAACTTCATCATGTTAAACTCGACCGTAACGGTGTTGTCTAAATTTTGTGCTTACGAAACGTGGACCCTTTAGCGAATTAAAAAGCTGTTGAATATTCAATACACATTGCCTCTAATCTTCAGCGAAATAATTAAGAGGGTGTCAGTCAACACCAAACTTTTATTTTCAAATTTTTGGAAGTCAGAAAGTGAGATAATACAGTTGGCTGAAATCAAATTTTGAAGCCGAAAGAATTAGTTATGAACGGCTTACTGGCTTTGTATCCGTCCTAAGTTGTTTTAGTTTCGAAAACTACTTGTGTCAATAAAATATAATTTCATTACCATAAAGCGTAGCAGCCAGCCATCAATGATCTAGAGGCGCACTTATTCTAAACTCATGAAGAAGGACAGCTAAATCTTATGAGGTACTCCAAGTTAACAGTAATATTTGGACAAATATAGGATGATGCCATTGAGGATAAGATTTAGATTCCTTGAATAAGCGGGGTTTTCATTTCGTGTCTGGGCGAAATGCCAACAAATCTATTTCCATAATATAGGTAGGATGCTGGAGATGTCTGCAGGGAGATACTGCAACTTCGCCGGCAACTGAACAGAAGCTTCGCAGTTATGCAGGATAATTATAGCAATGAATACACTATCAATGCACTGCGCGCAACCGTGAATTATTTTGAGCATTTTCTTGTCTGAAAGTGAAAGATGTGCATATATTGTGTGTCAACAACTGCAAATATACGCTAACTTCTAAACTGTATACGCCTTCTGTTTTACCGTTTCATGTGACAATCGTTTGACAGTCACTTGCGAATATAGTAGAAAGTATCTCATAGAGCGCAAGTAGAACTGCGTACTATGTGGAAGTTTCAGTACTTAGTGTGAGCATTTTCGAGAAGTAATACGATAAGGTTGACTTTTTTCTTATAAGTACGCAGTGAAAAGATAATGACGAATTTTTATAATTAGCATTGTATTTATTATGTAGGGAATGTTATTACAAGCATACGTCTTGCGTATCATTGCTTCGGCAACATAAACACTAATTGTAGCGTAATCCAGTGAGTATAATTTCGACGTTTCATGCGATCAACTTTGCGGAAAGTAGATGCAATTAAATGCTTCTTCCAGACAATGGGTCAGTGAGATTAGAAATGCAACTGTCGGCACATTTTCGATATTTTTTAGATATCCTGACTAATTGGCGCTGTATGGTTAATGATTTGGACTTGTCAGCATGACCAACATATGGATGAATATCCAGTTGTTTGCTGCAGCTTGTTTACCATGAGGATTTAGTTAATTCCATTTCATGTGGAGTTTGATTATTCTGCCATTTTGATATATTCCTCAAAGTGTCACCGTGAAAATGGGAGGTATACGTGTGCTTTAGATGCATTATTTCGTGGAATCCTACCACCACTGAGTATATACTTAATGTTGAGAAGGTTAAGGAATTTGAGTCGTACCAACCGGAATTATGGAGTTATGTAATTCCTCGCCACTGTGAATAAAGTATGACAGCATTCTTTTCAGAAGGTAGACAAGTTGGTGAAGTATAAATGATGACCAAGACACTCATATCTTTCCGAGTGATATTGTGGTGAGTTTCGACCTTGTTTTCTCAGATTTTATTCGCTGACTCTTTGTATCAGGCAGACATTGTATCATCGACTCTTATTTGTTTAGTGGCTTTTGTCATGAGTGCTGCTTTTTATCTGAAATTATAAATAGAGACAAAACAACAGGCGCAGTCTCTGAATTCATGCATTAAATGGGCCTGTGATTTCTGGGGCTCTGTCGTGGGAATTGGCACTGGTATCGCTTGCAAACTCTCCTAGTGTGTCATTAGGTACCTTTTCAAAGAAGGTCAATGATCTTACTAGCCCCATTTCTTTAAGCAGTCTGCTCCATATTTGGGCATATCTAATCAAGTAAAACTTTTGCTTGGTGACTGTTTTACATTGTTATATAGCCACTGCACTTTTAGTGTATTTGAGGCTATATCCAGCGTCATCTGGGAACCAAGTACCGTTAGTAGGGACATACACTATGTGATTAATTAGCTTTTAGAAGGGTACCAAATTTAGTCGCAGTCGTCCTAACTATAGTGTTTTGAGTCCTAAGATCTCACATCTGGTGGAGTAGTTTGTGCCGTTTTCGGTTCCGAGTACTTTTAGCGTGAAGTACCTCTGTACTCCTTCTACTTTCAGTTTGTCTTCTATGCGTATACTACTAAATATGAATGAGCAGTAATCTAAGAGTAGGCGCACACAAACTTTGTACAGTAGTATTCTGGATTCACTTCTGTAGAAGTTCCTGAGTAGGAAACCAATAAGCCTGCGTGGTTTCGATACTTGTTTCGAGATATGGTCAGAAAATGATAGATTGTGTGAATATTTCAGTCCTAGGTCTAGCACAGATTTGAGTCTGGGGATTTTGTGGCCCTGAATTGCTAGGTCGAGTTCTAGGTTGGGACAGCCTATGCAGAGCCAGCCACACTTTTCGACATTAAACTCAAGTCTCCAGGTGTCACACCATATATCCATTTTGACCAATTCTTCATGTATAGAGTTCACAGTTGTACTGACATCTGTATTTGTGCATGCATAGGTCATCTTTAAGTCATCTGCATATGGTATTGGTTTACCTATGCTAAAGCATCAGCTTTTACTCTTCATGAATATTATGAAAAGGAGAGGGCCCAACACACTCCTCGGGATGACACCACTGCTAATTTTTCTAGGCCTGGAGGTCATCTGTTGTCTTATTTCTATCGCAGTGGAATGATTCTACCCAGTTTCGGAAAGGGTTGCGTACCTCTGGTGGGCATAACCTGCTGGATAGCAGACTATTTTGGACTCTGTCGAAGGCTTTCCTTATTCAAAATAGAGGATAATTACTAGTTCTCTCCTATCTCTTCTTTAGGTGACTTCGTTGAAAAAATCTATGTGGCAAGTGGCGCATGATCTTTTCTTGAAGAATCCGTGTTGTGACTGGTTGATGAATTTAGTCTGATATTTGGTCTTTGATTACTTTCTTCATGATCCTTGATGTGACAGGTCCTATACTGATAGGCCTATAGTTGCATGCGCTAGTTTTGGCTCCCGCTTTATGCTTGGGTAATATATATGTATTTTTCCAAATCTTAGGGTCGGTCTCAGTCACTAGGGAGAGGGTAAATATTCTAAGTAATAATACTATTATATCCGTGCTACCATTTTTGTAAATAATAGATGGTGTGTCGTTTGTGTCATCTTGTTAACAGCCGACCTTAGGACTTTAGGCCACGTCAGTTAATTGAGCCCAAGGCACACCACTGACCCTACTTACAGCCCTCAGTGTTCTACATATTGTGATGATATTTTTGAGAAGTACAGGGAAGGATAATACAGGATAATAAAGAAGAATGGGTAGAATGCGTGAATTGACAAATTCTAGAAGAAGAGGTTGTTGTGCCAGTAAGTCTCGACTTCTTTATATAAAATATCAGGGGAAAAATTTCCATAGACATTGTCAATGGAAGTGAACATTGAACGTTTGTTTTATTGGAACTGGCAACCATTGGCGGGCAATTGAAGGCGCGAATGGAACGATCGCTTACAAGTTGAAGGAAGACTGGATTTAAATACGAATAAAAGTACTTTATAACTTCACTTGTACTTAACATTTGTTTGCAGACTTTGTAGTTTTCTTCAATTTAATTGCCAAACAATATAATTTCGTTGGAGGAATACTGGTGTTTTGGATTTAAAGTTGAAGAAAGCGCATAGTATTTATCGGCTCAATCGCTTAAGTCTTCATTACGATAGGAACTTAGGGCTATGTTCCTTGACAGTTTTTATTCTTCTCCAAGTCTTTGTGGCGCCTTCTGGAAATCGTCTGGGTGTACTTACTAGATCTGCAGCCAGCTTCTCTTTGGACAAGGATTATCAACGCAATTTGGATTCTTTGGTAACGTTGGATAATGCCTGGGTCAAGAAAGGGACATGGCACAATGGAAGCAGACAATAAAGTAAGTCACGATGAGTTGCCTGTTAATTGTAATGATATGTATGATGCTCAGCATGTTAAGTTTGATGTTCACGCTTCACCGTTAAGTGACAGTAAGGGTTTAAGATTGCCTAAGTTTGAACCGAGATACTTCGATGGAAACCCAGCCGACTACCCACAGTTCATCATAGAGTTTGAGGTCATGCTGAGTGGTTTTTTATTAAATGATGAAATGAAGTTAATGTATTTATTGAGATATTGTACTGGTGTGGCTGCAAGAGCCATACAGTGATGCAAGTTTATGCCCCCGAACGAAGGATATACCGAGGCAATGAAGATACTACGTCAAAGGTTTGGAAAACCATATATGATATCCCGTAGTATTTTCGAGACAGTGAAAGGTAACGGATCACAGTTAAACGATAACAAGAACTTGCAATTCTTTGATAATTTGTGGTATATAGAAATACACTCATGTCTTTTAACTGCGTAGATGAATTGAACTCAAGTTCCGTGCTTGAAACTGTTGCCAAGAGATTACCTGTTCGTCTACAAAGGAAGTTCATAAAGGTTTGTTCACGTCTAGAGGAGGAGGGTTTAGAGCCCGGGTTTGATGACATTGTGAGCCTGGTGAAAGACAGTGTCAACCAAGCTTTGAGCAGGTTTGCTAGTATACTGCATCCTACCCCTGGAATAGAGAAATCAGAGAGTAAAATGCAATCATTATGACGAAGGGGTCTCAGCGTAGTGGATATCGAGAAACCTGTATGGTTCTAGTAACCTAATGAGGTCCAACGGATAAGTTACAAGCTGCAAGGCAAACACGGTTGTGCTTCGTTCGTTTGCAAGAAGTGCATACAAAGGCGAACTGTGAAGCAACGAACAAGTATAGTGGCAAACTAAATGTGAAGTCAGCGTCATCGTGTTCTGACTCCGAATCGTGTATCGATAATGATACGGTGAAGAAGCCTGTAGTCGTAACTGGTAGTCCATTGTTGAAAAGAGTGGCTCAGACGACACCGCAGTTTGTGCATAAGAAGAAGGTTACAGTTTCAGTGTCCAGTTCTGACTCCACAAGTTTATTAGGTATTACTAGTCAGAGTAAAGGGATAAAACCTCTATGGATTCATGAGGAAGTACCTAAGTCATCTGCGGCTGTTATTAAAGAGGTTGAAAATGATGAAGTCAACCATACAAACGGCGGTAAAGTGCGTATTTGTGACAATGGTCACGATAGTTCACATTTGTCTGTGGCTGATCATGACGAGATTAGCGGAATGCCTACTACTACTGAGTTGAACGAAGGTTCTGTACAACTTGAAAGTGAAGTAGAATTAAAGGCAGATGCGGTTGCTGCAGATATGAATAATCGTGAGACCGTCAGGGT